CTCAGCAGAGAGGTGGCTTGGGGAACAGCAGGGACAAAGGCTGGTGTGGGACCCTCAGCAGCGCCCCCCCCCCCCGGGGCCACCGAGCCTGGCGCTCAAGGGAAGTGCGTGAGCGCGGGGGTGTCCCAGGGGTGGCCCTGGCCCATGGCCAGCACTCGCTCTCGTGTAGGCAGCAAAGGCACCAGGGGCTGGTCCCACCCACCAACGAGCCAGTGACACGCAATGTGACGGGAAATGACAGCCAGGGGTGGGGTGGCCGGCTGGGCGCAGGCCTGGCAGGGGTGAGGAGCAGAACCCGGACCCCAGCACCATGAGGCCACGAGCACCACTGGGTGTGGGTATGGCCCTTGGGGGTCCAAGCAAGCACAGTTGGGTGGGTGCTGGGCCTGTATGAAAGGAAGAAAGGGAGGGAGGGAGGGAAGAAGAAAGGAAGGAAGGAAGGGAGGAAGGAAGGAAGGAAGGAAGGAAGGAAGGAAGGAAGGAAGGACAAAAGAAAGAGAGAAAGAAGGAAAGAGAAAAAAGAAAAGAATGAATCAGCAAAAGAAAGAGAAATAATGAATGAACAAAAGAAGGAAAAAGAGAGAAAGAAAGAAAGAAAGAAAGAAAGAAAGAAAGAAAGAAAGAAAGGAAAGAAAGGAAGAAAAGGAAGAAAGAGAAAGAAAGAAAGGAAATACAGAAAGAAAGAAAGAAAGAAAGGAAGGGAAGTAGGGAAGGACGGGAAAGAAGGAAAGAGAAAGAAGGAAAGAGGAAGAATGAATGAACTAAAGAAAAAATGAACATACAAAAGAAAGAGAGAAAGAAGAGAAAAAAGAAAAAGAATGAATTAACAAAAGAAATTAACAAAAGAAAGGATGAACAAAAGAAAGAAAGAGAAAGAAAGAAAGAAAGAAAGGAAGGAAGGAAGGAGGAAGGAAGGAAGGAAGGAAGGAAGAAGAAAAGGCTTTGCGAGAGAGGAAAAGAGTGGAAGAAAGAAAGGAAGGAAGAAGAAAGAGAAAAGAAAAAAGAGAAAGAAAAGGAATAAAAGAGAGAAGAAAGAAAAAGGGAAGGAAGGAGGGAAGGCGAAGGAAGGAAGGAAGGAAGAAGAAAGAGAAAGAAAGAGTGAGCACAGGGAGAGGGGTGGCCAGCTTTAAAGACAGACTCAGGCTGGAGAGATACGACGGGGTCGGGTGTGCCCAGTCCAGGTCGAGCCCCTCGGCCTCCACAGCACCCCCTGAGCCCCACCGCATGAGCCGCCGGCCAGCTTGGCTGAGTCGTGCTAGGACTGACCCCCACGCCACTGAGCTGTGCTGGGCAGACCCCAACCCAAGCAAAGGGAAGGAAAAGACGGAGCAGTACGGAACTCCTCAGCCCAGCACTGGGCTCTTCCTGTCCCCAGGTCCTCGACCTTCCGTGACCTCGTTCGCCTCTCTGCGCCCCAACTGACTCATCTGCCATGGGTACAACTTGCTGCGCCATACTCACCAGCGCTCAGGGCTCACTCCCGGCTCTGTGCTCAGGGCTCACTCCTCACTCCTGACTCTGCTCAGGGATCACTCCCAACTCTGTGCTCAGGGCTCACTCCCAGCTCCGCACTCAGGGCTCACTCCCGGCTCTATGCTCAGGGATCACTCCAGCTCTGTGCTCAGGGCTCACTCCTCACTCCTGACTCTGCTCAGGGATCACTCCCAACTCTGTGCTCAGGGCTCACTCCCGGCTCTGCGCTCAGGGCTCACTCCTGGCCCAGAGGACCCCAACACATGAGGTTCCAAGTCCAAACATGGT